AGTTTTATTTTTGTTACTCTGCAGATGCATTTATTATCATTTAAGGTTAGATTCTACTTTTCAATCAGTTATTTGAATCAAGTTAGCGTCATGTTCTCTTTTATTAATACCACAAATAGTCGCATCATCTATATGCACGAATGTTCCCTTTAGGCCTTCCTTTTCGATTATTTCATCCAAGATTTATTGGAACCCAGTCCCAAATGGCATCCCTTTGAAATTATACAATTTACCAGCGGCTTCAAAAGCTGTGCTGGAGGTGGGGTCTGCTTTACGTAGAGAACTTGATATGCATTTTTTAAGTTTAGTTTAGAGTACAGGTTATACTTTGGTATTATTGAAACCATCGTTGTAATCTTAGGTAGTGTATAGATATCTTTTAAGGTAAAATGATTTATCATTTGTGAATAATCTATGACTAACTTTTCTTTTTTTCTGTTTCCTGTCCTTAGTTCTTCATGGAGATCTACTGGGCTCAGTGGTATCTGAATCCAACAGGCTTTTTATTTCCTATTTTTATAAATGTCTCCTTTTCTCTAGAGTATCTTCGGAATTTCACAGATATCGGTCTGCAGCCAGAAAACAGATTTTCAAACAGAAGGGGAGGTGAAATCCTCATGCAAGCTAGTCCACACAGTTTAGAGGTGGTCTGTCACCCTCATATAAAATTTCTATTTTTTTTGTGCAGGCCTTGAAAGTCTTGTCCAATGATCACACCAACACATAAATTATCCATTAAAAATAAATTAAATTTTTTGTAAGTTTCTGTACCCATTATAAGGTTTGCTTTACATTTTCCTACAGTTTTTAATAACAAGTCAGAAGAAACTATGCTGACAGTAGTGTTAGCCCAGTCTATGGGTTTGGATGTTAGAACTACTATCTTGGTGTCGATAAAGCTATAACAGCTTTATTGACACCACTTCCCAAATCTACTAGCATGGTAAGTTTATTTTGTTCACAAGGCATTTTACTGTGGTTTTCTAAACTCCTTGTAGCCCAGTAGTTACTGTGGCCATGAGAGGTAATACAGCAGAAAACTTATTAGCTTTCAAACGACAGACTTTTTTCTTCTTGCAATTGTAGCAACTCTCTTCTCCAGCTAGACTCTTACTTTTAGTGTGCCTCTGCAGAAAAAGTACCTTTCTTTTAAAAGGGATTTGCTAGCAGCAGATGTCCAATAATCACTCTCCTTTTGATTTTCATCTTGCTGAGAAGTTAAGACGTTAGTTCGGGGTTCCGATACCAATGCCGCTTGATAACTTGTTTGGGTATCAGCAGTATAAGCTTCAGAATTTAGGATAGCCCTTTTCACACTTTGTGCTTGATTTCCAGCTTCTGTGAAAGTGAGCATTTTGTTTTCAAGAAGTCTCTGATGAATAGGAGGTGTGGATAACCCAGAAATAAAGTCATCTCTAATAGCTTCCTCTTTGTAAACTTGAGCATTAATATCTTTCAATTTACAGTCCTTGGCCAGAATGTGCAATACTTGAAGATATTGATCCAAGGTTTCACCAGCCTGTTGAGTTCTGGTTGCAAGTACATCCCTAGCATATATATCACTTTTTTCTTGGGTGAAAACTCACTTTAGAATGTTAATAGCTTCTTCAAAGCTTGTACACTTGCTGAACAGTTCATATACATTAAATGACATGTAATTTATAATAGAATATCCAGCTCTTCACCCTCAATATGCTTGAGGAAGTTTAAAAATGTTCAGTACCAATAATTTCATATTTTCTCTATCTAGGTCCAGAATTTTAGGTTTTAGTACCCTGTCCATGTTGATATCTGAAGCAAAACAATTAGTAGTGAATAGAATGTTGTAAATTATAATTAGCTAGAAACTGCTCTCTATTACTCACCACAGAGAACCATCACTGCCCTCCATTAGAATGTCTCACGCGCAACTTCTCAAGAGCTCCTCTTTGCGACAACTCGGTCTCACATTGACTGCTGACCTGAGATGGAACAATTACATTGAGTCAATAGCTTCGTTCACTGCAAGGAAAGTTGGCTCCCTGTGCCGCGCCAGGAAATTTTTCTCACCTGAGTCAATTCTTCAAATCTGGAAATCAATCGCCCTTGCATGGATTATTGCTGTCATATATGGTCTGGTGCCCCTTATGTTTGTCTCAAGGTTCTTAAGATCCAGAGACAGATATGCAATATAATTGGCCCTGATCTGGCATCTCATCTACAGTTACTCTCTCACAGATATGCTGTTGCCTCCCTCTGTCTTTTTTACAAATACTTTCATGGTAACTGCTCCGAGGAGCTGCTTTCACTGGTTCCCAAACTTCATGAATTTAAGCGTTCTACTAGGCTGGCATCTCGCTCACACCCTTTCATTGTCATAACTGTTAAATGTAGCTGTCTCTTCTACTCCAATAGCTTCATGTCTCGCACGTCTTGCCTGTGGAACTCCCTCCTCTTCCTGTTTCCCTGATAGCTATAATCTCCAACTATTCATATATAATGTCAATCGATGTCTCCAGATGCGCTGATCTATCCCCCTATCCTTCTCTTCATCCTTTCCTCTATCACTCCTATTTGCTCTGTAACCCCTTGCATGCTAGTGGCTTCCCGCCTTGCTTGGGTTGAAACGCTTAAAAAAAAAAAAAAGAAAAAAAGTAGTATTCACTACTATTTCTCTAGTGGTTTAATCTTCGAGGTCAGGACTAGTTTAGCCTCCAGCTGTATCAGTTGCTATTTATATGGTGGCGACTTGCATATGAATACAACAAAGACATCTTTAAAGAACCCAGAACATGCATTTCTTAAATAAAGGGTTCCAGGAAATTCTGAAAAGTTTTTTAGCAAGCAGTCTGTCAGTTAAATGTAATATGTGATACACATTTGGGCGATCATATCACTTTTGGTTCATGAGTGACAAGGCAGAAGATATTCCCACTGTAGGTTGCCGTTTCTTTCTGCAATAGATTGGTTACCAACCAAGGCTATAGAACCCAGCCTGTCGTACTATTCGATCCATAACTGGGGGGCAGGGTGAATGGATGAATTCATACATCTCCCAAAGGTATTTGCATGTAGTTGAATGTAATAAAACTGACTAGAATTTGAACTTGGGCTTCTGATATCGCATTCTTAGATTTTATTACACCACACTGCACATCATAGCCATTAATTACAATGGTCATAAGGACTGAAAATCTCAATTTTCCAAGTTGTACAAGCCATTTCTCTTGACTTGTTTAACAATTTTACAATCTGGATTTAATGGAATTTTTTTATTCATTCTCTTTATCCAACTTCATTAAAGAGCTTCTCTCTCGTGCCATATTTTTAATTCATTTTCTTTATCCATCTTCATTGAAGAGCTTCTCTCTCTTTTGCCATATTTTTTATTCATTCTCTTTATTCACCTTCATTAAAGAGCTTCTCTCTCTCACCATATTACATTATTTATGAGAGTGATACAAAATTTTCTTGCACTTTTTACAAGTCTTTTATTTTTATTAATTTGTATCATCAATATTCATTTGCAAAAGGTTTTTTTTTTTTTTTAACTTTCTATGATTCTTTACAATTTTTCAGTTAAATTGTTTCTTCTATCGTAAAAGAATAATTCCATTTTGTTGGAATCACAAACCGGACAGTCTTGTACTGAGTGAAAGACAATTTGTCTGAAAGTGACAGATCTTTAGCTCATTACCTTTTTATGTATTGTAGTTGCAACATGAGGATAGCTATTATTATATGGCAAAGTTACCAGTCAATTTCTTTGTCCAGAAAAAATTTTTTTCTCTTTTGATACTTCATTCATACAATATTCTTTAAGTTTGCTGCATTTTCCTTAAAAAATTCCTTTATTTTATCACTTTCAAGTTGTGACGTTTTTCATTGCCTTCTTTTTTAAAATTCATGAACTATTCTTGACTCCTGCTTCCACCTACTGTATCATTACCATAAGCTTCACTAATCCATTATGTACATTTTGTTTCACATTTCCAAGTTTAAACAGAAAAATTAAACCATATCAAATACATATTTCATATTCAGCTCTTGTTTTTACCAAAATCACTTAAAATTGTTGAGTTTTCTCAGACAATAAACAGATATGTAAACTTCAAAAACTCTTCTATGAAGTTGGATACTGTGTACAGCTGGCATGGATAATTTTTCATCAACTTAATGTATGTGCATAAATAAAGTTTTTCTCATCAATATCTTCACAAATATTACTGATTGGTTTATAATTTAACAATACCCAGAGCAAATTTAGAACAACTGTAAAATTAATATATCAACTATAGTGTAAACATATTAATTCACAATGAAAATAAACAACACACTTAAGCAATAAGTGTTGACTCTCTTGTAGCCTATTACCTTCTATTTAAATGTCTCTAACTTTTAATACAAATCAAGTCAAAGAAAATCAAAATAACTCTATTGTTTGAAAAGGGTAAAAAAAGTTTCCTATTATCAGGAAAATTATTTGTGGAATTATTTTTCACTAAGTGTTGAAAACATGAATTGGTCAAATTTATTTTTTAAGTTTATGAAAATTTACTATAAATGTATAAATGTATATAATAAATACACATTAAATTTATGATATCAGATTTCTTTTACTATTAAACATTGTTATATTAAATCTATAAACAGAGCACAGAAGATAAAAAAAATAATGAATTTGTTGTAAAAAGTAAATCTGAAATTGTTCATGTTTTTATATGAAATGGTTACTTTTAATTGTTGAGCAGATCATCTTATTGATAGCAAGTTTTCTTCACACGTAGTAGTCAGTATTTCAAATAGAATTTTTTTCAGGTGGGGTTTACATTGCTGTTTGTTTTCTACTCATTTATTTTTATTTTTTCAAATGATTATCTTTGTTCTCACATTTCTATCAACAAAGATTTTGATATTGTCCCTGAATTATTATTACTTCTGATCATATATCTTGGATTAATATTTTTTAGGTTTTTCAATTTTCTAATGATAAAGATTTCTGCTGTATTTTATTTTGTCAGAAGTTAAAAGCTGCTTTACAAAGTAGTCAGAATGTCCCTCAAGATTTAACAACTTCCAATAACAGCCGACTGGTGGACTCAGCAAATCACATCAGTCAAATGGCATCTCCTTCTCCATCATCTGTGTCCGTGAAAACTGAAACAGCTAGCATTGCTTCTGATGCTACTGCATCATCACCTGAAAGTTTGGATGCTGCCATCATTAGTGGTGGTGTTATGTAAGTACCAAAATATTATTTTCATTTAATAATTTTTTCTCACCAGAATCTTACACCTTTGTTAGTCTACCATTCGTCCATGCTTTAAATATTGCTGTCACACCTGGTCTGTTACTTTTGCTATATATCTAGAGAATCTTGACAAAATCCAAAGAATCTGCAACGTTATTCGCCCTCTACCTTTTCTAGAATCTAGAAATACATTCATGATAATTGTTCTGATGATCTTTTCTCTTTGGTACATTGACTTTACAAATTTAAGCACAGAACTAGATTGGTAGCTAGGTCTCCTCATTGCTGGGTGTAACCATAAGTTCTATGCTAACAGTTTCTTCTCTTGCACTTCTCACTTGTGGAACTCTCTTCTGGCTTCTGGCTTTCCAGTCAACATTGATCTTCAAAAATTTAAATGCAATGTCAGTCATTATCTTCTGTCTTCTTAATTCCTGTTCTTTGACCTCTCTCCTTAATAGTTTTTTTCTCAGATTCTTTCACACTCAGTAACCCTTTGCATCTTAGTGCTTCATCACTTTGCTTGGGGTGAAATTAATAGCAAAAAACCTATATTAACAAATTATTATGTTGATGCAAAAGTTATCAGTATTTTGTTCTTGTCAAAATTATTTTATTTATATAAGATCATAGCATCATTATTCAATCATTTGGTTTTTGATCACCTTATATCACTTTCTATGTAAATTGTAAATTCATAAAAGAAAGATTAGTTTTAATGAATTCTTTAAAGAATGTCTTTGATATCTTGCATTCAAAACTGCTCATTAGAAATGAATATTGTGTGAATAAAGCAAATAATAAATTTGCAGGTTATGTGGCATATGGAAGAATTTTCTCTCCTTTCTCAATGATTGTTGTGTTGCATTGGAAGCCAGAAGTAAGTCATTATCATGTAGTACCATAAGCTGATTTTCCTTGTTCACAATGTACTACAATAAAGAGCTGAGTAAACTTCAAAACACTTGTAAGAATTTCCTAATGTTGGGTAAAAGATGATACTGAAAAGTTTTGCATCAAACCGAAGCTTTTATTATATATCTTTATTTTTAGATTAGTATGTTCATATCTGTTGTTATACTTAGATTGTTTTGGCCATTATATTTTCCGGCCTTCTTCAGATATCTATTGCACTTGATAACCTTCTTGGTATATACTTAAATGTGTTTATGTTTTTAAATTTTTAAATTTCATTAAAAATAATTTTTCTTGCATTTATACATCATTTTTTTGTATAAATGAAGGCAATAATTTAGTTTGTCTAAATTGATCCTTGTAAATATTTCATGGAAATCAATTGTTAATTTCTGTGTTGTAACTTAATAACTTTTATAACTTGATTTCCTTCCTGTTGTCAATTTAAAAAAAAGTTTTTTTATATTTAAAGTGAGTCAATGATTTCACTAAAAATATGAAGTTTTCTATTTATATCCTGTTTAACAATAAGCTGACTGTATTTTCATTTCTTGATCCATTTATTTTTCAAGTTATCAGTAACATCAAAATAAGTCTGTCTTATCTGAATATTTTAAAACTTCCCTTTACTCTTATCTTCACATTTCTGAGCTTCTTGCATTTCTTGACTGCTATTTAATGTAAACATTTACTTATGAAATAGAACTGTATGAGCATTCCTTTTATTCTAACCAATAAGTTGTGATAAATAGAATTATTGATATGTGTGTGTATATATATATATATATATATATATATATATATATATATATATATTCTCAAACTTTGTTTATTTCTCCAATCAATCTGTTGATGAATAATTCATCATATTTTTGCTTGATGTTTGTATTCAACTGATTTAACTTATCATGTGTTCTTTTCTTCTATTAGCAAAAGACCCAAACGGTCTGGTGAAGATGATCCAGATGAAAGGAGAAGAAAATTTCTTGAAAGGAATCGGTAAGATGCACATTAAATAACACATCAAAGAAGAAAGGAGCGTAAATCATGTTTTTACTTATAATTTGTAATATCAAGTCAAAGTTTTTTGATTTTGTAAAACTATCAGAAATTATTAATTTCCTCACAAAAACTACAACATTAATCATAGAATTTTGCATTGAAAAATCAAGAAGCAACCTTATCTACAAAAGAGGAAACGGCTGAAGATTGCTTGTATTTTAATTTAACCAGGTGGAAGTGAGACCATTAATACAAGTGGCATGACTGAATTTTTTTTTTTTTTTTAAATCAATTCACCTCAAGCAAAGTGATAATGCAACTAAGACACAGGGGTCTACTTGGAGTAAAAGATTAAGAATACTTTAGAAGGAACTGGAAACCCATTCTTAAACAGTAAACAAGGAATAAACCTCTATTCTAGTTCAAAAGATTTGCATGCTTAAACCTGCTGCATACATAAATCATCTTGTATGTGCCATGTCCCTTCAGAATCTCCACAAAATTCTGTCCTTTGTAGCTTTTAGTAATGTTTGTCTTTTTGCTATCTCCTAATCCCTTTTACACAAACAAGTTACATAGGTTATTCACAGCTTTCTTCTGTCCCTCTTACCTTTAATATGTCCTGTGAGTGTTGAATTTTTTAAGCCTACTTTCCTCATTATATACCCAAGAAATTTTTTCAAATCACTTCACCTAATAAGAATGCTGATTTGAGAAAGTATTAAGTTTTCAGCTTGGTACCAATCAGTTATGTTAATTGATAATTTGAAAGAGTGAGGGCTGGAAGCTACTAAAAACCGTTACAAGCCACAACAATATTATTATTTTCACATTTTCGCTTTTAATAAAAAATAAGAACTATTTATAAAAAGAAAAAAGCTGATACACTTCGAGGTAATGTAATTGCCTGTTAAATATATCAGTCCTATTAAATATGGGAGCATTTAAAGGAAACTTTACATCAGTTGTTTCACTCAGATCATTGAATGAAAGTAATACATTAGTATTAGAAATAAAGATAGAATTTTGTGATAAAGGTACATACATAAGGCCGGGCATATGCATATTTTAGATGTTAGTATAAAATAATTATTTCAAAATACTTCTAAATGTGTTTCTAAGATTTGTATACTTATACATCAGTCAGTCAGTTATGTGCCATGTGTGATACACGCTTAGGCGATCATGTATCTTTCGATACATTACTGATGATGCAGATTTTTTCCTGCAGTAGGTTGCCATTTCTTTCAGTGGTAGACCAGTTGCCATCCAAAGCTATAGAACCCAGTCTGTCTTGCTATTTACCTATAGCTGGGTGGAGAAGAAGAGGATTCATACCTTTCCCAAAGGTATTAGCACGTAGGTGAATGTAATGGATTTGACTTGAATTCAAACTCGGCTCTCCGATTCCTCCATCCAAACTGCTATCCATTACTCCACTGTGCCTCCTCTTACTTATACATAATTTTTCTAAAATTAGTTTGTTTCATTTAAAAAAATTATCTCTATACATATATAGTTTAAAATTTGTTATATTTATAGGGTATGAGTTCTCAATATTGGGATAATACTTATAGATATAGACACTGTGGACATAGGAATAAACACTGTTGATTCATTTGGCCACAGTTTGCGTGTGTATGAATTGGGATCAAATATAGATTGGAATCCGACAGAATGATAGGATAAAGAACAAATAGGAAATGTTTATAAATCTATCATGTTTCATTTTTATTAAAGCTTCATCAGAGAATCAGATATGTAGAAAGAAATTCTGAGATTTTTATTTTTGTGTTTGATTTTCATTGGTTAAGCAGGTTTCACATATTAAGCAGCATATAAGTTCTGGTGTTCTGAACTGAAGAAGAGACACTGTGTCCTTATGAAGCCCCCAAAAATTATAGATTCCAAGCCTAAGTGAAAAAAAAAAAAATATTGCTGTATGTAAATGTATCATAATTCTAGTTTGTGGGCTTCAGATGATAATGTATATTTGTAAGTGTGTGTGTGTGCATCTAGTTGGCATTATTTATGTTTGGTGGTTGTCTGGTCTTAATTAAAAAAGAACATAATTCTATATGTCAAAAATACTTCAGGGTAGTCCTGATAAAACACACATCAAAAACACTATATTACATCACCAACTTTTATAAAATTTCATTCTTAAATAATCTATGTTTATCTACAACAACTGATGTTTATGTAAAAATGTGTCAAAATCAACATGCAGACAACCCTCAAGCATAATCTGAATTCAACTTAGACAAACTGAACTTATTATATACTTACATACATACATAAAGCAATATTTGTTTTTTTTTTAGCTAGGCTTGAAAACTTATTTTTTTGAATTTTGAAATGGTACACCATCTCTTCTTGAGCTCAGAATAGTATAGCTTATATGCTGCTTAAAAAGTCAAATTCATGTAAAACCTGCTTAACCAATGAATATCAAACCAAAAAATAAAAATACCAGAATTTCTTTCTTTGTCTATATTCTCTGATGAACATGTTAGATTTATAAATGTTTCCTATTTGTTCTTTATTCCTATCCTATATTATCATACCATATCATCTCTTGATCATATATATATATATATATATATATATATATATATATATATATATATATATATATATATATATCAGGTCATCCCATAAGTTCTGTCCGAATTTTACCTTTTTGTTAAAATGAAGGAAATTTAAAGAGTATTTTATAATGTCTAATGGAGCTGAACATTATTTTTATGTTTAGATGCATTTAAACTGATCAAATTTTATTTCAGAGAACAATAAAATTAAATTTTGTTTGGTTAAAACCCTGCTAACATGCAAGTACCCAAGAATCATTTGAGGCACATAATGCTTTATGAGTTCAAGAAAGGAAACTCAGCAGCCGAAGCGGCTAGAAACATTCACTCAGTTTATGGAGAGGAATGTGTGAATGAAAGAACTTGCAGAAGATGATTTGCAAAATTGAGAGGTGGAGATTTCACCCTTGAAGATGAAGATCGAACCAGACGTCCAGTTGAGTTTGATGAAAAGCTTCTTGAAGCAGCCCTTGAAGAAAATCCTGCTTTATCAGTTGAGGAATTGGCAGTGGTTCTCAGTTCAAACCATACAACTGTTTATCGTCATCTTGGAAAAATTCCTAAACTTGGAAAATGGGTGCCTCATGAATTGTCTGAAAACAACCTCAAATCCCGAGTTGACATCTGCTCTTCTCTCCATTCTCGCCAACTTGTTATACCTTTTTTGGATAGACTTGTGAGTGGCGATGAAAAATGGATCTTTTATCGAAATGTTAAGCATCGTAGACAGTGGCTTGGTAAAGGGGAAGGACCCCAGCCACAGCCGAAAAGGGAACTTCATGGGCAAAAGGTTCTTCTTTCAATCTGGTAGGATCACCAAGGAATAATCCACTTTGAATTCTTACCAAATATACTGTCAGCAATTAGAGTGTTTGAACCAAACTTTGAGGAAAAAAGACCTGCTCTAGTGAATCGAAAAGAGGTGATGTTTCATCGGGACAATCTATGACCCCACACAGCAAGAATCACGTCACAAAAGATTGAAGAACTTGGTTGGGAGAAAATTCCTCATCCACCTTATTCTCCCGAACTTGCTCCTTCAGACTACCATTTGTTTCGTAGCTTACAGAATCATTTGGAAGAAACAGCTTTTTGTAACACAGGAAGAGGTTAAAACTGACATTTGTGAGTTCTTGAATCAAAGCCAAAAAGAATTTTATAGTAATGGAATTAGTAAGCTTGTTAATAGATGGAAGGAAGTCATAGATAATCAGGGAAAATACATTGTTGATTGAATCTGTAATTAAATGTAACATTTGGTCACTTGTTTTCTTTATTCAAAATTCGGACAGAACTTATGGGATGACCTGATATATATAGAGTATAGGATAACATTATTTAAATTTTTTTTATATAGCAAGAACAATTTCGGGAGAAAGAACTATGACAAAGTGGATTTTTTTTTGTGTGATGAGTTTTGTCCTTTAGGACTTCATTGGATTAAATTTATATTTTTGTCGATACAACTACACATGCATATGAATATGAAACACTGAAAATTTAAAAATAATTTTTTTTTATTTTGTATCATGTGTTTTGGTTATGTAATCTATCTGATTTCATTTAGTTTCTTTTTCTTTTGTTTTGTAAAAGAAATCTTTTACAAAACAACACATTAAATGCATTAGTTGCTCACAGTAATGAGACTGACTACCATTTTGATTTTAAAAAATACTACTTTAATTAAAATAGAAAACAATTTACTAAGACAAAAATGTTTCAGTTGCTAGATCATCCACAATAAATTTACATCCAGGTTCTTTCAACATTTCACCATTCTTGGCAGATCTTCTATTATCACAATGTGTGCTATTTAAATAACAGATGGAAACATAAAATTCTTACTGTCTCTTGTTTGTTCATACAGTCAACAATATTCATACACCCATCAATTTTGAATATTTTTATCTATTTTTCAGAATCTAATGACCATATGATGCCAGGTTTTTTATATGTTAATAAGCACAAAAAAAAGGAATATAAAACTCAATTGGGTGTATGAATAATTTTGTCACTTATTTATGTGTAATTGCATTGACATAAACATAAACTTAGTCCGATGAAATCCTAAAGGAAAAAACACATCACATGAAAACTTTTTCTACTTTTGTCATGCTTCTTTCCACTAATATATATATATATATATATATATATATATATATATATATATATATATATAGTGCAATGGATAGACTATTGTCTAAATTACACAAAAATTAAAATAATGCTGACATGTTATTTTAACATATATTTACCAAAATTACACAAAAATATCTTGAAATATTAAAGTAAATTCATTCAATAATATTGGTGTAGACTTCAGTGTTGAGTCTTGAGGCCCTGTGGGAAGTTGAATGGAGGCATAATTTCATCTTCACTAGTGATCACTCCAAACACTCCAACTTTAATCTTCTAAAATTGGATTACTCTTTTTTTTGTTTTTGCTCCTTAATAAAGTTTTATTTTCTAATTCTTCCACACCCAGTAATCCCTTGTGTTCTAGTGGCTTTACTGCTTTGAATGGGATGAAATCGATTTAAAAAAAATATGTAAAACATGAATAAACAGTTTCATTTTTGTTTGTGTTAAAACAATTACTGACCACTTGAAAACATTTCATTGTTTCATATTTAGGTTCCTTAACAATGGACATCTTTTAATTTTTCATTGTATTTTAATGTTAATTTTTATATTTTTTTAAAATATTCTTCCTGAAATTCCTTTAAATAAATTTACAATTGGTTGAAAACTGCCCTAATTTTTTTTAAATGTCTGAATGCATACTTAAAAACTTTTTGTATATTATTATTATTATTGTTGGCTTTTATAATTTTAATTCAAATTTTAGTTTATTGAAATCTACAAATTCAATTAATAAGCATTTTATGATTTTGCTTTATTGTTTCACGTATTTCCAATTATTTCCTTCAGAGCTGCTGCAGCCAGATGTCGGCAGAAGAGGAAGCAGTGGATTACCAATCTAGAAAAGAAAGCAGAAGAATTGCAAAATACGAATTCACGATTGCAGGTTTGTGAACAATTCTATGGAAATGCAGAATTTTTTACAATAACATGTTGCCTGAAATGAAGAACACATTGGTTTCTTACTGTTTTTTTTCAACTAAATTACAAACCTTAAATGAAATACTATTGTATAGGCACAAATTAGCATATAAACACATGCACAAACATATACTGATGTGCTTGTTTACAAGAACAAAAGACTTTTACTTCCTTTTACTTTGAAATTATATAAGTAGGTAGGGAAAGAGAGGCAACTTTAAAAGATGCTATCACAGTTCCGCCCCATATTCTCCACTCCCCAGATTTAGACTGACAGGAGTACAGTGAGTTCAAGAGGATCTCTAATGACTTTGTTGAGAAAATGAGGATTCTTTATTCATTTTGGAGAGATGGAGAGACTGGATATTGAGATGTTTCACACACACACATGTTCTATATCATGTGTAAATAGAATATATCTATTTTCTCTTTACAATTTGGATTCAATACTTATTTTCTTTCTACTGGAATATCATACCTGATATTTCCTTTCCTTAAAGCATTTTATTATTGTTGTCATTTTTGTTTACACTATAAAAATTCATGATATAAATGGGGCTCTGATGCCCCATTGAAGAAACTGCCTAATTGTAAAGGATTGTCTTTTGAAAGAGAAGAATTTATTTATGTGTCATGTACCTTGCAGAGATAAAGAGAAACAAGCAGAGTGAATGAAGTGCCTTGTCAATAAGTAGTAATGGGAGTATTTTTTTTTTTTTTTTTTTTTTAAATCTGAAATTAAGATCAAAGTATATGAAACAATTTTATCCATGCATTCGCATTTCTTGTTAACCCTGGTATTTTAAAGAGAATAACACATGTTTAGTTGATTTCCAAATTTATTAAAAAGTTACTAAAAGTTTTTGATTTAAAAGGACATTCCATTGTTGGAGTGGACAATATCTGTATTGCCAAAATATGAAAATATTTTCTGGAGGCATATACAAGTTCTGACCAAAAAATGATGAGACTGTTACTATGGTAACTGAGCTAAAGTATGTAGTGAAGATTGACCATGGACTCTGTCACACATACACTAACTTTCATTGTTTATAGCAGTGCTTGAAAAGAAATTGTGTGGATTGTGGTTGTTTCACCACACCACAGAGGTTCAATCAGTGACTATAGCTTGTGCAACAGTTTTTGGCCAAGCCCAATATTCCCCGAGTTTGACAACCACCATATTCGCTAGACCTCGCCCCTTGTAATTTTTTCCTCTTCAAAAATCAAATCACACTTGAAAGGAACAAGATTTCAAGATATCGAAGAAATCCAAGAAAATGCAATGAGGCAGATGCTCACTATCCCATATAAGGTGTAGTGATACTAGCAAATTAGTATGCATAATTTGCATAGGCAGAAGTGAACATTCTTATAAGTGGTCACTCAGAATAACCACGAAGGGTACAAGTCTAGCGACTGATTAGTGCTAACCTCTACTTCACAACATAAGGAGTTCCAGGAATGCATCCATCAATGGAAATGGCACTGGATAAAGTGTGTGGCTTCAGAAGGGGACTACTTTGAAGAAGATTAAATGCTGACTTGATATGTGTTGTAGTTTTCTTTTTATAGCACAAGTCCCAATACTTTTTGATCAGACTTGTTAAGGTTACTTTTTAATCTAACATCCTTGCATGTAAATCCAAAAGAATTTTGGGTATTTTCCTCAATAGCAGTAAGCAAGAAACAGCCATTGGGTAAAAATTCAATGTTTAATCTTTTCATTGGCTAACATAGAGCAATCAGGCTTGTAGAAATTTGGTTTTAACTGTGCACATATTGGACAATTCATGCAAAACCATTATTGGCTGTAAGACACAGATGATTCATCCTGGCCAAATGATTTCAACTTGTTTGATCATAGTGAGTGACCAAATCATTTTGCGTATAAGTTTTAAAGTATATTAATTTGACTGAGTTTACTGAAGAAATAGAGACTAAATAAGATTTGCAATATTACTTCTTTCACATTTGTGTGATATATGAAAAGCATGCATGTTTAAGTCTATGCCCCTGTATTTTTATCATTCTTAATTTCTCCTTTGGAATTTCTGTAATTGAATATGACATCACTTTTTGGTTTTGAGCAAGTAGTAAAATGTTTAGCAGGTAAATAATAATACCACTTTCTACTCTGATATTTCTCTCTTAAGTGAACTATGTCTACATTTTAAAAAGAATGGAAAAGGCTTGTCAATTGGAATCATTGTTGCATCTACAGCTCATGGCTGCATTGGTATGAATTACAAATGAAACATTGTTTTTAGTTGTTGATAAAAAAACAATACCTTTCAAGAAATTTTATTGTAAACATTTGACATCTCTTGTAAAGGGACATCCTAGTAAGTAAAATTGAGGAATATTTGTCTGATTATAGATTTAGAATTAGCTGAAGAAGCAGTCTTGAAGGAAGACACAAATGAGATTCCTTTTTTGTGGGGAGGGCAAATTCTTTTGAGACATATATGCATAGATACTGCTTATGTCAAAAACAGCCCATTAATAATTTTACCAGATGACTTCTTAATGTTCATCTTATGGATGTTTCAGCATGAACTTCTCTTTTTACATCTACTGCTCTGAGTGTAGCATGCTTGTGAGTAATGCCCACTATTACAGCACTTGTTGCAAGAAATTCCTTTTGCAGGAGGACTCTTTTGTCATCTGGGTTCAAGGATCTGCTATAAAAAAAATGCGTGCCTGTCTTGTTTCCTTTTCCTAGTGACTGTTGAGAAATTTTCTGAAGTGCAAGTCAGGATTTTCTAATATCTTTCACGGAAAGAGATGTTGAGTTGTTGGACAGCAAATATGTCTTGTCCTCTTCCACTTCAGTTTCTGTTTATAAGAACAGATCAGATATACTTCCACTTACTTTGTAATTATATAAACAGGCTATACTTGATAACTTTCTTGAAATTTTTAATGAAGCCCTTTATTCAATCTGTGGGGCTAGATTGTTCTCATTTTGCTTTCTGTTTATTCTCCCTGGCCAGTTGACAATCCAGTGGTGTCATTTTGAAACCTTAAATCTAATGTCTGTACTCTGGTGATGGAATTTATGAGTGCCCTTTCTTAAGAGGCTCTCAGATGGTATCCATCTCTATGCTAGGTCTACTGAGGAGGTTGTCAGTTTGTGAATTTTTCAGTTGTCTTATCCTCCAATATTGTTCTCTGTTTATTAACTTGAGTTCATTCTACAAGGGTTCATAACTTACATTTTTTTTTCCTTATATGATCAACCATGTTTGACTTTAATGTCTCTCCCTGAACTACAGTCTTTCAATTTGAGGTTCCTCCACTTTTATTTTTAGGAAGTGGCTGGTTTCTCTCTTGTATTCCTTGTAACAATTGCATGGGATAGAATACACAAAGTTGTTGGTGATGTTTTCTTCAGATGGGGTCTACTTTGGAAGAGATATATCCAAACTACTTTTGAATATTGTCCTGATGTTTTATGAATCACAGCTCCTCTGAATTCTTAGTTGACCTAGCATGAAGATGAATAACATCTGGGATCCTCTGATCAAGAAAAAAAAAAGAAACTCTACAATTCCATTTTCTGTATACAGATGTTAAGTTTAAGACTCCAAAATTACAACAAATTGCCCAAGCCTCATAGCTGAGTGTTTGGTATATAATGTATATGAAAAAGAAAGTGACAATTTTTTTTATAATTTAGTCTGGAATCTTGCTTCGTATATTGTTTGCTTTTGTTCTTATTCTTTTCTCTCTCAATGAACTGATCACTGTTAACTTAATCTTTAACCTTGTTCATTTGGGGCTAGTAACAAATAAATGTTATTTACTTACACATGTTTGCTTGAGAATTCCTAAACCATCTTCAGATAAATGGTACATTATTTATTATTTATTTTTTAAAAATAAAGAGTATTAGTTTGGTGAGTTGAATTTTTTTTTCTGGTTGAATAGCAAAAGAAAAAAATGTGATATGTAATTATTTTTTTTCTGTTTATATTTTCCATATTTTTTCAGAGTGAAGTAAATCTTTTAAGAACAGAAGTGGCACAGTTAAAATCTTTACTTCTTGCTCATAAAGACTGCCCAATCACTCTTCAACAGAAATCTATGGGTCAGCTTTCCATTCAAACTGGTGAGTGTCATCAAGAATTTATATACACACAACATTGAAAGATAATAAATTATTAAACTTAAGATATACTACCAAGATATTTTCTACATTAAAGTAAGTTTCAGAATTATAACTAATTTTTCTATGTTCGCCTTCATTAATCATTGTTGGTAGTTCTTATTTCTATTATTCAAATATAATATTCAAATTTCTTAGCTCAGATAGTGGGGGTTGGGGCAAGAAACTAAATTTTTGATCAGGTATGGAGGATTAAGAACATTCAGGAACTTTTCCTTTTCATGTTTTTTATTTTATTTTACTTGAAATAAATATGCTTTATTTTTTTGCTAACTTCAATAAATAGTTTTTGTTTAAAGATTATATAAATAACAAAACAAAGATTTTAGTCCCCTCTTCCCTAAAAAAATCATTGACTAGGTTATTTCTGGAAGATGAAATTTTAAAGCAAAAAGTTTTTTTTAATTATCATTCTCAGTATTCAGAAATATGTTAATAGTAATAAATAAAATTATAAGCTTATTTATCTTGTCCATACTGTGTTTTGCACACACATCTGCTTGTCAGGACTTGATTGTAAATAGAGACAAGATGTGGACTTTTAATTTTTTAACTGGGAAGAATCTGTTTCTTTTTTTTATATATGGCCAAACTATTTTTTAATATGCATAATTACAGGATCCAGAGGAAGGTTTTTAATATACCCCCCCAAAAAAAAACAATCAAACAAAAAAACAAAAACTTTGTTCCTTATGAGGAGCTCACATAGAGAAAAGGTCTGTAAAATAAGCAATAATCATCAGGTTATGTTATGTTGGGAGTAATTAACATTACAGAATTTATATTTTAAAACTTGAAAAGAAAAAAATGTTTTGTTAAAATAATTTTTCATATTTAATTAACTACTGCTAAATAGGTTTATTGGTAGTTCTTTAAGATTGAGGTATAAAATAATTACATCATATTATTGCTTTGTTGGGACTAAGAATTTGGACACAAAAACAAATGTTTAAATCAGAAGTTCAATTCAATTATTTTATTCAGAAATCTAAAATCTCTTAAGGAACATTATTAAGTTTATAAAATAATATAATTGGTAAATCTCTTTTTTGTGAATTTCTTTTTTATTATTAATCTCCAGAAAAAAAACATTTTGTGCTTTGACAAAACCATTTCATGAAACAATTTAACAACAATTTATTTAACTTTTTATTGTATTTCTTTCAATTGGAAGACATATTTTTATAATTGTAGATGTGTGTATTTTATTCACTCCTGCCATTCAATTGAACATTTGCATACACTTCCATCTTCTATAATATTAGAAGAATTCTTGTTATCATTTTTTTTTTTTGTTGCTAGTTTTTTAATTTCATGCTTGATTGATGATTTATCAGATGCCAAGTGTATGGTGCCATTCCTATAAAACAGATTGTAGAATAACAGAAAACTTCAATTACCTCAGGTAAGCTAGCAGGTTTATTTCAGGCTATTCTTGGGATACTTTCACAAGTTGGTCAGCTCTATTCTCTGAATGTAACCACTTGATCTTTGAGTTTGACAGCCTGTGAATTATCACAGAATTTAGGAAGTTGCTCTCAAGTCTAACAAAATGTCTCAAGATCCAACAATTTTCAACCTTAAAATTCTGTTTTGACTCTCATATTGGCAGGAGTTTTCATAGCTTTTCAATATGACTCTATGAAATTGTTTCTAATGTTTCCATTTATATTGTTTGTTTATATTTTCTAGTAATGACTTTATCAAAATATTTTCTATGCAACAGTTCCCATGACAGGAGAAACACCCAACATCATCATTACAAGTACAGCAATTTCAGCAGGAGAAAACATAGTGTCAGCAAACCTGACTAATGTTGTTGCATCTTCATCCAGTGCTCCAGTATCCTCATCTACTCCCAGCACCAATTTTAGTACTGGAGGAATTGCTACTACTGTGGTCATTGACAGAAGTAATGGTAACAGCATCAGCTCTAAGAATTCTAATTCTCTTATGTCAGAGACTACAATACTTGCATCTCCAAAATAATTGCAAGAGTTATATGCGACTATTGTAGTGATTTTGTTTAGTTCATTAACAATGAACCAAGCTGAACTCTTGGATTGAATGTACTCGTTTTTAATATGCACTCAAAACAACCAAGTGTTCTGATTGCATAATTGATTTATAAAAAGTATGAAAAAGGAGGATGAGATGGTTAAATTTCCTGTTTTATAAAAGTAATTAAAATAACTTCTTTGGTTTAATTAAGTTCAATTACTTTCAAATGATACAATCATTTTCTCTTAATTTTTTTTTGTTTTTTTTAACTTCTTCATTTTAGCTTATATAGTAATTTTAATATTTTTTGGTTTGAAAATGAAAAAAAATCATTAATTGATATTAAACTGATAAAATCAATTTTACTAATATATATTGGTAGATTCCAATTAGAATTGCAGTAACTATAAAATTAACTATTTGGAATTGATCATTTTCTAACAACCATTTTTTTAATCTTATATTTTTGTATATCTATGTGTACTTGTACATATATACACAAATACGCACACACACACACACACACATATATATATATATATATATATATATATATATATATATATATATAGGTTACTTAGAATTGTAAATGGACAACAAAGTAGTAGTAGTTTTTTTTTTTCATAGGATAAGAACACTGGACACATGCATTGAATTGAAGTGCTGCAGTATTGGAATTTAATTTGATTATCATAGTAAATAATTTCTCCTGAAAAGAATTGGAAAGGAATGTATGTGGTCATAAAGTGTTTGGTGTTCAACACTCAATTTTTTTTGGTTTTGTACATTGCAAAACTATTTTTAATCTGTGAATTTGTCAGTTTGTTTATATGTTAATATACACACATAAACATTGTGTGTGTGTGTGTGTGTGTGTGTGTGTGTGTGTGTGTGTTCATGTATGTATATATATATATATATATGAAAAGTATATAACATTTAAGTCAACACTTAAGGCAACAATCTGTTTCATGGTTATATGCAATCGTCAGGCCAATGAATTGCATATATATAAACAGATGTCATTAAAGTGTTGAAAATATCTCTGATATTGAGCACTTTATCCCATAAATATAGCACATGTTAAGACTATATTTCTTCATACACACACACACACACACACACACACACAGGGTGCGATGGATAAATTGTCATCTAAATTATGCAAAAATGAAAATAACACTGACATCTCATTTTAACAGATATATTTACCAAAATTACACAAAAATATCTTGAAATACTAAAGAGTAAATTTATTCAATAAAATCGCCATTGGCTTCAACCACGGCCTCCAGACAACTTTGGAATCTCCTGCAACTCTTCTGGACAGTCTCCTTGTTTAAGTTGGTGAATGCTGCCATAATCCTTGCCTTCAGTTCATTTTTGGTGTTACAAGGAGTTTTGTTGGTCTCTTGCTCAACTGTGCCCTACACACATAAATATCAAGGGGATTGCAGTCTGGGGAGTTAGGTGGCCAGATATAAGGGGTGATGTGGTCGCAGAAATTGTCTGGCAGCCATGACTGGGTTCTCCTGCTTGTGTGGCTTGGTGCAGGTTCTTGTTGCCAGATGTAGGGTCTTCCACCAGCCACCCTCTTGACCCCAGGGCAGTACTACTTCCTCAAGGAACTTGATATAGGTCTCCGTGTTGAGTCTGAGCTCCTGTGGGAAAATGAATGGAGGCATAATGTCACCATCACTAATGATCACTCCAAACACCTTCATAATCACCATTAGACTCATCCAACTCTTTATGAATCCTCTAAAATATCCTCAGATTGACACCCAAACACTCTGAAATGTTCATATTGGAGCTTCCAGCATGAATGCCAAGCAGTACAGCATGCTGTTTCCAAATTTCTGGTGGAGTGAATTGCATCATGGTGCTCTTTTTTCTCACAGATGGTGCCCAACTGCAAAATTAAAAATATAAAAAAAACAAAAATCAAACCCATCACACCCTGTGTGTATATAAATGTGTACATATAATATATATATATATATATATATATATATATATATATATATATATATATATATATATATAATGTATGCAAAAAAAAAAGTTGTCAAAAGGTGTGTTCTTGTAAGTAATTGCATTTGATTGAATGAGACATCATGAGTAAGCTCTAATATTCAGATATATTTTACATCATTGTTAAACAATTCATATGTGCTTGATGCTAATAAATATAGCAGTTTATTAAAGCTTTCTCATGTTTTTTTTTCTTATTTGTTAATCATTCTTTACTAGCAAGGATGTTTTTCAAAATCACGTTCATAATATCAAGTTTGTGTATATAGATATATTCATGAATATATATTTGATGTTTTGGTTAAGTTTCATTGTTCATTTAGCATAATTTAAACATTGCTCATAGAATTTCATGTATGCCCCACTCCAAACTTTTTCAGGAACAATTTATTCATAAATTTTCTCAGTTTAAGCAATTTGGTCTATAAAGGTTTTACTTAAGTGCTATGTAAAAAAATTTTTTTTATTCCTTTCTTTGAGAGTTTTGGCTCATTAGTTGTCATTTGAGTAGTTCTTACAATTTGTTTAACCCATTGTACCCAGCAAGTGTCTTAAACTGCCTCTGTGATCATCCACAAATATACTTTAAAGCACAACTCCAATTGCACCTAGACATTTTTTGCACCATTGTATTTCTGTATTTTTCTATATTTCAATCATTTCCTATGAAGTTTATATAAGTTAAGGATCCTTTCATTCCTATGTAATTTACTTAAAATTTTGACTGACTATTGGCATCTATGTTATGCATGCATTTATGGCATCTATGTTATGCATGGCATTTACTTCATAATAGACATGACAGCCACAGCATACATTTTATTAGATGCTAGTTTATTCATTGTATTCTAGAAATATATATATATATATATATATATATATATATATATATGAATAAAACATTTTAATTTACAAAAAGCACTTTCTGAAAGTTCAAAAAAATTGCCATTCTTATGTAAGGCTAAGAAATATTTGTGATTTAACTTTCATAAAATTTAATGGTAATTTATATATTTATTTTTCAGTGAAACACACAATTTGGAATTTATTTCTTCTTAATGTCCTTTGTGATAGTATTGTGGTATAAGATCTCAAAAGATAAAACAGCCACTATTTGAAAATAGTATGAAATATCAGGGGGAAATATCTTTTAAACATGTTGGCCAAGTAAAATGGCATAACCTTGTAATGACAGAGAAGATAATATACACATAAACACACTAAACAAAAAAATAACCAGAGTTGATTGTTTTAAAGAAGTTTAATAAAATGGGTATAGTTGATAGCTTCTTCTTTTTCTTGATAATTTATTTACATGTAACTGACAAAAGTAATTTGTTTCTCATTAAATTAAATCAGTTTAGCAAAGATTGCATTTAGTCTGATGGGCTTCAAGTAATCTAAGAAAGGGTCATAAGAAAATTGTAAAATGTGTATTAAAATAATGGATGTTTGCTGACTTGGATAATATTTATAAAAAAGAAAATGTCTATATAGGAACAAAGGTATCAGAATAAGAAAAATGTCTATTAGAATTAGATTGCAGAAATGTAAAGAATTTAGAAGTATAAATATTTACATTATATCTTTGTTTTATATTTAACTGCACTATTATAAAAGATTATGTATTTTTACAAGGTGCAGCATAAATACTGTTATAAAAGAAAGTTCATAACTCCTGAAAAATTTAATATATCAGAATACAATTTTATCATAAAGTAAGTATTAATCTGCTAAATAACACAGAAAATCTCATTCAATATGGTTCCCTTAATCCATTACTACACATCAAAGTCTTTTAGGAAAGTCATTGATGGCAGCATGCACAGTTGCCATGAATATTTTGTCCCATACTCTCTTCAATTTTGCCTTCAGAGCTTCAATATTGTGGTGTGGAGTTGAACAGGCCTCATTCTCAAGAACTGCCCATAAACAATAGTCAAGAGCATTGATATCTGGTGATGAGGGTGGCCATTAATCCTTGGTGATGAAGCCAGAACAGTTGTTTCTGCACCACTGCTGTGTTACATGAGCAGTATGGCTTATTGCTCTGTCTTGTTGAAGTGTTCAATTTTCATCACTATAAGTGGCATTGCACCATGGCTTGAGTGCACCTTCCAAGATGGCCCCTATATAACCGTCCTTGTTGATCTTTACCCTCTGATGCATGAAAACAAGAGGAGACTTTCCTCTTTCTGAAATGGCTGCTCAAACCATAGCTGATGCCGGTTTCTGGGTTCTGAGGCATTTTCCTGAAGCGGCAGGAACTGACTGATGACTTGTTGAAAGAACATGATCATTTTGATGATTAAAAGTCTGATCAACAATGAACAGTTTCTCATCAGTGAAGAAGATGTTTTGTAGCAACCACTTACTTCTTTGGAGCCTCTTTTTCATTGTGGCTGCTGAAAGAAGCTGTCTGTTGGTTATCATGTAGGGTGATATTCCTAGATCATTTCAACATAGCCTCCACATGGTTCTCTTCAATGTTCCAGCCTCATTAGGCAATTTTCTCATTGACTTTCTTGGATTACGCCTGATTTTTTCATGCACCTGTTTAATGAGTTTTGGCATTCTGGAGGTGTAAGGATGACCTGGTCTTGGTCTATCTTTGATAGAGGAAGTCTTGTATTGATTAACTGTCCTTTTGAGAAACATTCTGTTGATTACAAGTTGTTTTCCAGTCCGTTTTCATGTTGTTTAATTATATACTTTCTTTTAAGTTCTATAGACATTGTTGCCAGTAAATACTAAAACACTTTGAAAAAAAAAACAAAAAAAAATAGTTTACATTGTTGGGCGAGTGTCTAACCATAAAACAATGTAATGACCAAAACATTAAAGTAGAATTCATTTGAAATTTTGTAACAGCATTTATGCTGCACTCTGTAGATATTTCAGATTACTCCTAATTGCTTATTTGATGAAAATTTTTCTAAATGTTAAAGAAATAG